GAACCATTCGCAGGCTCGGCCGGTCGTGTTCCTTCAAAAATTAAATGCCATGATATACAGAATAAACACAGGAGCACGAGAAGGCTGGGGCCGAAGGGTCCGTCTGCCCCATCTCCAGCTGTAGCCGAGGCAAATGTTGCAAGAACAACGGTGTGAGGGTGAGCTCATAGTGAGCTTTATTCTCCAGCACCTTCCCACCTTCCCAGTCTCCCATCCAGAGGTGAAGGGGCTGAGCAGTGACGCCAGGCAGTAATACATTAACTTTTCTCAAAAGCAAGATCTAGGACCACAAAGGCATTCATCCTGGCAGGTATTTCCACTCTCAGGATCAGATCTGTGCTACATTTTTCATCCTCAGTTAATTCCCAGTGCCCTACACCTCCGCTGCTCTCCAGCCTTCAAAGCAGCCAGTTGCCTCTGTGAATCGTATGCCCTGTTGGCTCCTAAGAAATGCTGAGAAATTTCAATGACTGAAAAATCAAAAGGGTTGTCTAATACAACAGCACCCTCTTCCAAACACACTGACATTGTAATGTTTAAACAGCTGCATTGTACCGTGCAAAAGCTCTGTCAAGCTGCAGAGCAGCCAGCATGATCTAAACCTTTAGAAAGAGAGGATAAATAATTCTGATTTCCGCCCCATGAGCATGTGAATTGTCCAGACCTCTTCCATCTAGTAATCCTAACTGACTGTGAAGGGAAATAACCTGAAAAAGTTCTGGTTGCTCTGAGAGTAAAAGAGAAAAAAAAAAAGTCACAAATGCCTGAACATCTGGAGATGACTGTAAACACAGAGAACTCTGGATAGAAAATATGAGATAGTCTGTTCAGTAGGTGAACAGTGAAATCATCATTGATGTTCACAATGCAGCTGCCTGTTGTACTTATTTTCCGTAGTGCCTGCAGCCAAAGTTCACAGAACTAACAAGAAATTTAGAAGGTAATAGTCATTAAAGAATTCCTTGCTGTAGAAATATCCCACTGCTTGGGAAGGGGCAAAACCAACCAGTTCTTCAGCAACCAGTTCAGAGCAATCCAGTTTCTTCTCATTCTCTCTATTTAAGAAAGAAGAGAGAGAGTGGGAGCATTGGGTACCATAGGTCAGGTTGCTGCTGCACTCGGGGTTCCCAGCTCCATGTCCCTGTTAAATAAAGATTCAGGATGATGCTCTCCTTTGAGTCAGACCTGTAAAGGCTCTGTGTAACATGATACAAGCTAAACACAAGGTAAAACTTGAGCTCTGTGTTTCTGCTATATAAGGGGCTCTGCCAACACTCAGTGATGTCACTCTGAGTTTTGCTCCTGACTTTGGTGGCCTTTCAGTCAGGCAGGATGAGTGGAGGTGAGAATCCATCTCCCCATTGACCCCAGGTGGGAGCCTGCTCCTGGCATGGAGCTGGTGCAGGGAGAAACCTGGGACCTCTCTCCCCTCTGTAGTGCTTTGCCTTTCCAACATTCTAAAGCCCTGTTTCTTGATGTATGTTACAAACTGTAACATTATTTCTTTCTCCTCAATTTTTGGGTCTTGTTGTGTTTTTTTTCCCTTTTTTTTTTTTTTTTTTTTGGTGGTAGGCAAAATGAAGATCATCATGAAGAATTTTTGCCAACAGGAGAAACCTCCATAGACTCCTATCCAAACTGGTTAAAATTCCACATTGGCATTAATCGGTACGAGTTGTATTCCAGACATAATCCTGCAATTGAGGCTTTACTACAAGACCTTGTCTCCCAAAAGATAACCAGTGTTGGTATGTTTGGATATATGTTATTTGTTTATTATTATTTGCTCTTTGTTTAGGATCTCATCGTTTGAATATAAATATTTTGCATGGCTTCTGTCCGGTGTCCCTACAACGTTGCTCCCTTACTTCTCTGCTCATTTTCCCTGTTAAACATAAGGAGATATTGCCAGCTCTGTATGACCTGAATAATTGCCAAGTCTGCCAGGCAAATCCCATTCACTTCAGAGATCTTTCAGTCACGATCAGGCTGAAAGTGCCCTATTTGGTTATTTAAAATAAATACGATAATAATAATAATAAAAAAAAGGATGGCAAAAAGCAGATAGCATCTTGCACGAGCTGGATTTGTATTATTGGCTGGTTATTTTATCGGAAAGGCTGTGTCTGGCACAGCCTCGTGTTCCCGTGGAAGGAGAGGCGGCTGACCTGCAGCCCTGCAGCGATGGCCGCGGGAGCATCCGGCACCGCGGGGCTCTGCGACTGCCGGAGCTGCAGCTTCCCTGGGCATCGCGCAGGGAGCTCCAGGCGAGCCAGCCTCCTGCTGAGCAGAGTTCAGCTCTGTTTATTCTGCTTGTAGATCCACAACGGGGATGTGCCCGTGTCAACCTTTGGCTCTGGTTAAACAAGGTGACACAGTTCGGGGCTTTTCTCCAGGGTTGTTTAATGGCAACGTGTGTCTCCTTGAATTTAACCGCGTAGCTGCACGGGGGGGAAAAAAAATGACACAGCCCCAAATGACAGCCCTGGGATACTAAACAAATGCACACACCGTGGTTTCCAGAGGTAGGGAGCTGCAGCACAGGCAGTGGTTTCCATCCACCACGCAGAAAATGAAGTTACTTGTGCTGACCACAAAGTTGCAAAGTCCCTTTCAGAGGGATGAAATAGCAGGAGCTCTGTAAAAGTGCTGATGGTGTGTTGGCACTGTGGGATGAGGTCAGCAGGTCTTTAACCCTGCAAGGCAAAAATTCCCCCAGCTTCAGCAGGAAATGGTCTGGGCAAGAATAGCTCAAGCAGCCCTAAGGTTTACATTTTCCATTGTGTGAATCACAGTGGCTGCTGAGCAGGATAAAGGAGATCCTTGGTCATCAAGAATAGGCTGATTTAGCTGGTTGGGATGGAGTAGGTGTAAAATGCAGGATGCTACAGGAGAGCTTTGCCTCCATGAATCTTGCTGCCTGGTGGCTGTGCTCAGCACACTGCTCTGCTGGGGCAGCATTTTGAATAAAGCACTTTGTGATATCCAGGTGCCATCCCACATGTTGGATTCAAGGGTCCAGTGGACAGGTAACTCATGAAAGATGACAAACATGGACTCATTTATTAACCTGTGCTGGCTTTTCTGTCCCCAAAAAGTCTGGATTGGAGTGATTCGTGAAGGAGGTTGGGTTTGACGATTAAACCATGTGTTTTCCCTTCCCTAGCTCAGAGGTAACACTGCAGGTAGCAGCAGTCTCTGTATGGACATGGTCTGGATGATTTTCTCCTTGATACAGCCCTCACCTTTCCTGACCTTGCCCCTCAATACCAAGTGATTTTTGGAATATTAGTGACATGTGCAAATGGAGATTGAGCCAGCACTTTGTGACACATGTTGATGTTGCTCTTTGGGCACGTCCATTGAGGAGGGAAAGATGCAGTCTGTGCCCTTTCCTGTCCCCACAGTGAGCAGCAGAGCCCAGGCAGTGTCCTCAGCACTGTGAGGTGATGCTCAGCCAAGTCATCTCCTGGCCCATCTCTTGAGGCTTGCACCAAGTGCACTGGCTCTAGCAGTGTTTTGTACTGCATGGCTGCTGGGTGTATCGATCTCTACTTACCCTCTCAGCCCTTCAGAGCTCAGCTCAGCTCAGCTGTGTTGTCTGTGCAGGAGGAGAGCAGTGTTTGCAGCAAACTTGGCAGTGTTTGAGCCATGAAGTCTGTCACTTCTTCAGAGCAGTGGGATGGCTAAGGTTGATGTAGGGACATAGAAGCTGGTGGGAGAAAAATGGAGGTAGGAGCAAGAAAGAATAGTTTAGTCCTCACTCTTCACTTGATTATCTGGGCTTGGTCTTCACTTCTGCTTCTGGGCATGTGGCTTCACCAGTCTGTGCTTCAATTATCCTAGCAGCAAAACATTATCCTCATAAAACATAGGAGTGAAATCCTGACCCTGGTGACGTAAGTGGAAGTTTTGCCATTTGCTTCCCTGGGGCCGTGGTTTCATCTAATGTGTCATACAAATGTGTCCTGGGGTTTCCAATAAATCTGATTTTGATAGAGCTTTCAGATCAACGAGGGGAAAGGGCCATGGGACCACAGAGGAAGATTTATGGTTGCTATTAGCTATTCCCTTTGGGATTGTCTCTGTTAATGTTTGAACAAGGCTCTTAAGAGCATGGTAGGGCCTCTTAGGCCTCTAACAAAAACACAGAGCCCTGGTTTCTAGCAATGAATCAGTATAATTTCCATAAATTTAACTGTGAGGTATATTTGGTGTTGGTATTGGCCACTGTGGTAACTGACAGAGAATGATTCCTACATATAAATCCCAGTTTAAAATCAAGTGTATGGAAATGGAAAGGGGACTTTTGCCGATGTAGAGATGCCAGGATCTGAATTTTGGTGGGAGCATTCATTGTCTGTCCCTGTGGGGGTTCAGGAGCTTTGTCAGGTTGCAACAAAAGAAAGAACATATTGTTAATATTTTTTAAGATAAGACTGGAGGTTAATATACTTTCTCTTTTTATTATTTATTACACAATGCAGCATCTCTTATTTTATGTTCCAAATTCTTTGAGAGTTTAAAAATACATGTTTTAATGTAATCCCTGCCAGTTTTCAGCTTTACTGCAGAGCAGCACAGGGATTCAAAAGCATTTAAGCTGATTAATAAAAAGTAATATATTTGACCAAAGGACATTTATAGGTCTGTTACATTCTTTGCAAACTCTTGCATATCTTCTAATTAGTCTTGTTTTTTTCCTTATGGTCCATTTTTGCTGAGTTTTTTGTTTTTTCTTCCTCTAAGGCAGCTGGGAAGATATCAGCTTAGGAGTATAAAATAAATTGAAACCTTTACAGTGCCCAGTCTTCAGGCTTCTTTTAGCAAGCAGAACAATTAAATATACAGGGTTACATGCATTAGATGAAATGGGATATTGCTTTATCCAGTTTCTTCCCAGTATTCAGATTTAGTTTGGCTCTAATAGAATTAGATGCTTTGCTTGATACCCACAGTAATTAGATCCAAACTGCAGCAAAACAGCCTTCTTGGCCACACTGTGATTTCTCTGCTCAGCTTGCATTATTTATGGGGGAGAGTGGTGACCAGATTGATCTCCCATGTCTATTAGAACCACTCACATGACTCTGAAACGTGCAGTGGTATTTTAAAATGAAAACGGTGACAGAAGCAATTCCCAAGAGCGGGGAGCACCAAGGTGACATTTTCTTGATGTTAAAGTTTAAATGGAACAATTCCATGGATGGGAAGGAGCATCACATCCAGCTCCCACAGTGACACCTAGAGCTGGCCTGGAAAAGGACAGGGTTACCCAGGCTCTCGGGCTGAGGATGAATTCTGTGCCCTGCATCAGTATATATATTTCCTATTCATTTTGTTCAGCATAAAGGAATAGCTCTTAATTTGATTTAATTCACTGAAAATTTCCTCTTGCCATAAATAGGAGCCTAGAGAGAATTGCTTTTCCACTGAGCACTGAAGCCTGATTTTCAGAAGTACATGCACAGGCAATTGCACATTTCCTTTGCCTTTCATAACTGTTTATTGCATGCATAAATAACCATAGTTAGCTGTTTTCTTGCATATTTACAAGATGTCTGTGCATAATTGTTGCAGCACTGTCAGCAGCTTAACACCAGCTCTGGCATGGTGTTTGTAGGGGCAGCATGGGCTTGGTCTTGCTTGTGTTGCTGTCCAGAGGAGCTGTGCTGTGGGATTGCCTGTAAGCAGAATAGGCCTTTGTGATTCCTCTGTTTAGCAGGGGTTTATTTTTTGATTCTTTAAATCCTCTGGTTGTAAAGGTTTGGAAACATAACCTGACTGAGGTAATTTCTGAACCTCTGGTGCCTTCAGTTTGTTCAGGTAGCAATTAGAAAGCAAGCGTGCGAGATTACTCACGCAGGGGATAAATGCTGCAATTACCTGAGGTGGACTCTGCTTCAAGGCAGGCAAAAAAAAAAAAGGGGGGGAAGAAGAAAAAGACAAGACGCTAAATATTGAACATAAATTCTGGTTCTAAAGAAAAGTGTAAAAATCTCATCCAAAAGAAAGGAAAAAGTGCTTTTGAGAACTTGTGAAAAACATAATGAAATGTAGCACCATTGATTTACTGTATAAGAAAACAATGAATCTGCCAAGAGTCAGCAGATTGATTTAATGTACAATTCCAGATGAAAGGAGGGGACTTAAAATGTGCAACAAAGCCTAAGAATAATTTCACAGATCTCTTCCCCTGCAGAAGTCTTTTACTTTCTTGACTAAACCAAGAAAGTCCTTTAAAAACAAGTTAGCAGAACTGACTGAACAAGGACAAATTAAGAGATAATGAGGGCTTGAATTTGTTTTGAAATATGTTCTTTACAGCTTGTACAGGGCCATGTCTCTAGCCTGGGGCAGAGCATTACTTGTTAAAGCCAATCAACATGTTTATGTTAGATTTAAGCTTGATCTATAAATAGGAATCCAAAATGGATCTGAACATCCTCTGTTTCAGATGTTAATTGCATCCCAGGCTGGGACTGGATCTCACTTCTCAGGCATTAGCACTGCATAATTAAATATACTTTAAAACGTTTGTTGGATTCTGACCAAAAGAATCAGAAGAGGTTCAAAGATCCTGTTGGGACTCTCACTCTCCATCAGAAAACCCTATGGTCTAGATAGGCTGGTAGGACCAGGGCTATCATGGAGTAAACCAGAGGAGCTGGAAAGGCAGACCAATTGAAATTCCAAATTCTTCTGGGTCAGATCCCTTTGGGCAGGATTGTATCCCTACTGGGAGTTAGTTCTGGATGGTAGCCAGAAACCCTGTGGCATACAGTTTTAAAAAGATGACTGAGAGATGATAGGTAGGGTACCTTGTATTGGATGGTGTGTTTGGCTCAGGGAGGGAATTCAGAACTTGTATTGCTGAGGGGACAAGGTGGGGAAGTAGCAGACATGGAATGTGGCCGTGACAGCAGGCTCTTAGATGTAAACGGAGTGGGGATTTTTGCAGGCTTGATCCAAAATCTAACAGAGAAAATAGAGAGAATCCCACCAATTTCACTAATCTTTGGACAAGACTCTAATCCCAGTCATTCAAGCAAAAAGATTTCTCAGGGAATTTTTTGCAAAACCTCCTAAAGTTGGAAGATTTCTGATCACACTTGAGAGCCCTTACATGGGGTTAACAGGAAAGGTTAATGCTGCTTTCCATTTCCTTCTACTTTGGGGGAAAAGAGAGGCTTTGAATTGCCTGAAGATGAAAAGTAATGATGGTATTGGGATTTGTTTGTAGCAGTGTGCCAGTACATCCAGGAGCTGTATGAGACTTGATTTGAAGTGCCTGTTGTGAGCTAGCAGGTTTATAAAGCCTTTTACAGAGCTGTTTGTGACCTGTGATGTTACAGTATATTAAAAAACCTTAAAAAAAAAAAAAAAGAAAGGTGAATTTAGAGAGTGACTAGTGGTTCCCTTGGAGTCAGTACAGCCTTGTGTTGCAAGGCCTTAGTAAAAATCCCTAAGCCTGCTGATCAGATGTGACAGACTGCAATGGTGTAGCATCCTCCACTTCCTTGGAGAATTGGATCCATTGCTTCTGGGTATTATACATTCCTCAGAAATGTTCCTGTGGGCAGTAGATGAAGGTACAAGGATATCTCCAGATGAGCAAGCAATGTTGATTTGGGATAAACCCCTGGAAGATGACAGGGCTCCCGTTATTTGGCCAAAATGGCCAGAGAGGTGTGTTTAACTGAGGTCTGAGCAGAAAAGGGAGTTCCTGGAGGAATACAGCTCAGGAAATGAGAGGGAAGCCAGTATGCAGATGTGATGCTACGTCAGGACAAGGGAAGTGATCTGACCTAGAGGTCAGTCATCTCCAATGAGATCTTCTCTTTTCTGGCATTACCACCCCAAAATTTGGGCACCCTGCACTTTGCCCAAGCCTGCTTAGTTTACAGGTACAGCAAAGGTCTTGTTGAGTTTAAAAGAACAGTCTCAGTTTAGGTGTTTCCATCTCTGCAGGGATTACAATGTTGGGCTCTAACTAGTCTGCATTTGGAGGGTGGCCTTGAATCACCCCCAGCCTGACCAGCACAGCTGTGGCACTGGCAGAGCAGACAAAGTGGGAATATCTGCACACAGGTCTGGATGATGGGGCAGGAAACCAAGGTGCAGTTCTGGCACGGGCTGTTTTCCATGATGCACATGGGTTCCAGCATGCCCTGCCAGAAAGCACGATGGGACACCATTCCCACCAGTGTCACCCTCTGGCTTGGAGGGGCCCAAAGTTTGCTCCTCGCAGCAGTGGAGGAACAACGTGCCAGCAAAATTTGTGTTTGGTCGAGGCTGCGGGTGCAACCAATTAAGGCAACACAATACCAGGGATCCAAAAAGACGAGGGAGACGCTTTTGTCTTACTTCAGCTCAATTCCTTCTGACAGGAAACCAGGCTTGTGTGTCTCATGGAAGAATTACTCTGAATTGTTAATCTTCTTCATACATTTCCCTGCCTGGTGATGACATACTCGCTGTGGAGTTTGGCTGCTAACAAAATCATTATCTGTCAAGTGGCTTCAACTTTCTGGGAAACCAGTCGCCTTAATGTGTCCAAAACTTTGTACTTGGAAAAGGGTGTGATGAAACATCCCTTTTTCTTCTTCTTTGCATTGCTGTGATTACAGGGGGGTTAGAGTAGTTGATATTTAAAGTCCCTTCCAACCCAAGCCATTGTATGATTCCATGTTTTATTTGAAATCCCACACCTTTGCCAGTGGTTGGGCAGGGAAGGTGGTCAGGACTGCCCTGTGTGTCCCTGTGGGCATGAGGCCAGGGCAGCTCTAGCTGCCTGCTTGCTGTCCAGACTCACCAGGGGTGTTTCCAGAGTCCACAGCTGGATGTGATGGTCCCGAGGCACCACATGTAGGTTTTGGACTGGAGGATTTCTGCTTCTCATTGCCCTCAGGCTGTGGGTTGGGTATGAAGAGGCCTAGAGCTCCTTCTCCCCTCGGGTGCAGAACAACTGACCTGTTCTGCACAAGAAAAGGAGTTTAATCCATGAAAGCCACATGCTTCTGCTATACCTGGTCAATTCAAATTGCTTAATGCCCTTTAATTTCTAATTATTTATTTGTTCCTTTGGGATAAACTGGCAATGCAAGAGAAGGCTGAGATCAGCAAAACAGCAAGGCAAGAGGGATTTTATTCTAGAAGTATAATTACACTAACCAGATTTGCATAGCATTTTGTTGCAAAAGTATAGATTACAAGTGCTGAAAGAGAGCTGATGACCTATCAGTGATAAGACACAGAGACGAGTAATGAAAAAGATGTGCAGCCAATGGCATTGGTTAGAGAAAGAAAACAAGCTATATAGGTGGAACAAGGGCAACTCTAAGCCAAAATTTACAGAGCAAGATAACCTGACATTTATGTAGTTCTCCAGTTGACATGGGTTTTGTCAGAACTCTAAAGAAAGGGATTGATTATCTGATGATTCGTAGAAAGCCTCTCTAAAGGCCTGACTCATCCACACAGCCCTGACAACCATGCCCTGCCTCTCCCAACACAGAGGTACATTAGGAGTTGGGCTATAGGTCATTTCATTTATTCAGAGCACTTTTGAATGAGGCAGTAGAAAAGCAGCTGTTTGCCAAAGTACATGTTTATCTTTTTTAAGTAGCCTTATCATCAAATAAAATGCATTTTTATGAATTTTTATACATATAGAAAAATCACTCCGACTTTAGAAATGCTATAATATGGCTGTTGGTGTGGTTTTGTCCAAATTTTTCAGATTGGTATGAATAGATATCAGTCTTAAATTCCCATTATCTCCCAGCTGGGAGGTGAGCATAGCCCTCAGTGTGCAGTGTGGGCCACTGTCCTTGCTATCTCCAGCCAAACCAGGGACCTGCTCTGCACAGCTCCACTCTCATGTATGAACCACCTTGGGATCCCTTGAAGTTAATAGCTGGGCTGGATACAAATCCATTGTGCATAGAGGAGGTGAATTTACATATCTCTACTGCTCAGCAGCCATTAATAAAATCACAGCAGAGATCAGAGATTGCTGCAGTATCTGCTCGTGCTTTTAATTAAGGAGATGTCTGCTGTGCATTGGACTGTACATCCCAGCTGCAGATGTCTTTGAAAGCACCCCATCTCCTTTCCCAATGTGTGTCCCTTGTTAAAAGGAACTCCGAGAGCAATTGAAGATGGAGAAAACAAGACTCCAATGGTCTGTTCCAATCTGTGCTGTTCAGTCAGGGTGCTTATGGAGCCCACAGTGGCCAGTTGAAGAAGACAAAGATGTATCAGGAAGTACAATCCATGTTTAGTCCTGGTCAGCAGCCCAAAGTTCTTCCCTGTACTCTAATAATCTGTTGTCCAGTTAGGATTACCCTGCTTTGTGCTCCGGTACCATAGTGCTGCATCTAATACAGAGCAAAATAGATATGATTTGGTTTCAAGGAAGCTGAATTAAGTAGATCCACATGTCGCATTTTAAAACAGTTTTGTTTTTTTCCCCCAGCGATGAAATCAGGAGGCACCCAGCTGAAGCTGATCATGACATTCCAGAACTATGGACAAGCATTGTTCAAACCAATGAAGTAAGTCAAAAAAGTGTGTGTTGTTAAGTGAAATTGGGGTGAAATAGCCATTTTCTAAGCTGTTAAAAGTTTGCTGTAGTGTCTCTCAAGGTTAACGTGTCTCATTCCTGAGGCTTGTTGCTGAGTCTGGAGCTTCGGGGTCTGTTGATACCTTGTTCTGCTAGACTGGTCTTTGGAAGAGATGCTAAGGAGGCTTCAGAGACATTACAGTTTTGTCAGGAATGTTATTCACCCTGATCTCTGTGAAATCTCCCATCATAAATACAGGATGTTTTCAGCATTTCTTTCCTATGTAAACTTACTGCACAGGTCTGAGCTTTATCTAGTGTCAGTGCTCCTCTGGAACATGGCCAGACAAGAGAGGTGGTTCAGAACAGCTTTGGGAAGAGCTAAATAGTATTTGTCTGATAAATTATAATTTAATCAGTTGATTTATTGTTGTTTGTGTTAAAGGGTTGTATTAGTCATTTGGCTGTGGCTATGCTGAGTCTGTGAAAATGAGGTTATCCAAGAGTGGAACTGCAAGGTAATGACTCTGGAGAGAAAGGGAAGGACTAGGATTATGTGGCCTTGATTTGTGCCTGCCCAGATCCCACTGAGATAAGTTATTCAAATACAAAGCAGATGTAAATGACTCCTGAATCCTGACCTGTATGTTTGTGTTGTAATAAGGAAAATGACTCTGCTTATTATAGAGGGTTCATCAAAGATGCTCGGGGCTGCAAAATGTTTAATGAAGCTACTCAGTATCTGTGTCAAGGGTACCACTGGAATAATAAATTCATTTCCTTCTTTTGTTCCCACTGTAGGGAAGTTCAGTTAATTTTCTCTATGATAGTCCATAAAAGACTAAAGTAACTGAGAATGAGTGGTTTGGAATATGTGTTGGCATTGTGTTAGAGCTGTAGTGGGGAGCACAACTCAGAGGGAAGCTGCTGGCTGGAGACTGAGAAATTCCCCATTTCACTATAGATTTTGCTATAGATTGGTTTCAGAAAAGTACAGATTTGACTTGATTTTGTTTGACTTGCAGAAGGGCCAAAGAATTGGTCCCCCTGCCCCTCAACCCAAGTTTGTGCAGGAACCCTCCCTATGTGCATCTGTCCTGGGAATCACAAGGAAATCCTATGAACTTTCAGGCAGCACAAGGCATTTGTGCAAATTTGTTATTTTCCAATTGCACACAAATTTTTCCTTGTTTTCAGTAGATCTCTGGTTGCCTGGGAGAGGTTGGAGGAAGCACAGACAATACTGACAAGTCAGAGGGAAGGTGGTAGCAGAGAGCATCTGCTCCAGCATCTGTCCTTCCTCTCCCTGTCCTCTCCCCAGATTTTCAGGTCACCAGTACATGAACCCAGCCCCTTTATCTGCAAGTTTGATGTATATAGGCACAATTCCTAATTGTGTCTTGTCCCACATGCAAAATCAAGAACCAAGGGGGTTTCAAGCAGCCTTTAAGTATTTGGCAGAGTCGTGGTTGCACTGTTGGCTTTTTACATAGTGTGTGATTTGCTCCTTCTCTGTTTTCTGAGATGCAGATAATCTCAGTCTTTATCATTGGTATGACATTGTAATTCTGGGAATGCTAATGAGGTCAAATCAAAAGTTTGCCACTGCTACTGTGCTATACACAGCCTCAGCAGGATGATGGATGACAATAGAGGTGTAGCCACATTCCTGTGTAGAAGCAATTACTACCATCCACTAGAACAATAACAGAAAATGATGATGTCTTAATCATTCCCTTTGATTGATTTGAGGGGCAGCAGTGCCCTGTTTTCTCACTGCTCTTTGCATCACATATACCCCTGGAAGAAGCACTCAGCATCTGCTTTTCCAGTCAGCAGACCTTAGAGGAGCAATGCTGCTGCAGTTGTGCTGAGCGTCACTGAACACATTAGTGATTTTGAATAAGGGTGTTTGCAAGCATTTGTCTTCATTCTGATATTGGTGAACAGGGAGCCAGATGCTCACCCAGCGTAAATCTTCCTGGTTCCTTTGGCATCCGGTCCCATCGGCCTCTTTCACCACCTTATGGACTGAAGTTGATGTTCTTGGAGAGGCTTGCAGCATCATTTCTTTATACAGAAATAAGCAGCCTAGAATGAAATAAAAATAATTAAAAAAAACCCCAGGCTTTAAATCTAGGAGACTTCTTGTAGGATCTTCTTCACTCCCTAGATACTTTCCAGGCTATTTCTGGTGCTCTCTCTTTTCTACAGGGTACCCTTTTGATTGAGGCTTCACAAAGCTGGGTGTTCTTTCCCAGGACAAGAGGCAGTAGGGAGCTCCAGACCTTTGGCAGTGACTTCTGCAGGGGAGTCACAGAAAAATGTGCTCCCTGGAGAACTGATGGAGACCCTGCAGAACTCACCTGACTGGCTCTGCCCTTTCCCAGCCTCCCAATTCCACATGGAATTTATCCAGGGAGAAAGCCAGCTCTGGAAAGGCCCAGGCAGGATTTGGAAGCGGGGAAACCAGAATCAACCTTTGGCATCTTTTATGGTTTGTGTTTGACATTTACTGACAGCTCTTTATCTGGTCATTGATTCAGGATAGTGGAGCAGATGAGAGGAGGGAAGCGTAGAAGTCAGGGAAATGTGATAGCAGTAAATAAAGCCTGATCAGCTGCAATTATTTTATTTATTCGTGGCTCTGCATCTTCATTTCTGAAATAATGGTCCATAAAGTATTGCAGAGGAAGCCAAATCTATTTATAAATCCTATGGCCCAGTGTAGATTCCTTTACTAATTCTAAATGCATGATAGAAAAAGCACGTATTTGCTAAAACTCCAGGGAAGATTTAATGTGTTTGCAATGTATCTTACACTTAATGTGTAGTTTTATTTAGCTCATAACAGTTCAATCATGCAAAATTATTACCATATGGGACAGAAGAAAAATAGCAACCTCCCCTTCTCCCATGATTAGTGTGTCTAACTGTACTAGTATTGTACATACAGCATAATAAAACCTATTTTCATGATTGCTGATATCTGCAGTTGCAGCTTTCTCTATGACTTACCAGGTAGGGATGTGTAGAGCCATAAATTTCAAAGGGTTTTGGCTCATTTCTCCAAAAGGAACATACACTTTCTAGTTTTATTTGGTTCCCCTTTGTTTCTGTGAGCTTGTGGAGTTAAATAGCTGGCTGAGCCACAAAACCAACATGCTATTTTTTTCCCTCCCAAGGCTTTATTCTTGAAGAGGGAAATTCTGCTCCAACAGAGCCAGTGTTAGGATTCCTATTGCATATACTGGTGCCAGGATTTTGAGAGAGGTTTTTACAGTTCCTTATGGAAAAGCCAAATAGGATCCAATAGAAAATGACACCTAGTTACTGGAGTTGTGAGAAAAGTGTCCTGTGGTCTGTGTTTGAGAATGACATCTCTCATTCCCAGTTTTATAGACCACTTTGTACAAATGTGCAGAAGGGGTATTCATTATAAAATCTTTGAGGTTTATTTGTTCCATTCAAAGAAATACTACTGTATCTAGTGAATTTGCTTTTGGCTGAGACAGATAAAAGCCAGTTCTGTTCCAACTTTAGATTTTACTGGATATTTTTAACATCTTTTTTCTTTTCTTCTGGTATTATAAGTCACAATACAGTACTGGTAAGAGCCACATGGCTGTTTCTTTCAGTAGATGAAGTTCACAGTTAAAGTCTTTAGTGAAGGAGAACCAATCAGCATGAGGGTGATACCAGGCCAGAGGAGACTTTGGGGTCAAAAAATGAAATGTCCTTGAATCACAGTTGGTCGTCTCCTTCATTAACTTATCAAACACTGCTGATCACATTTTTTGTAACTTTTGCCCTTGCTGTCCCTCCTGAAACTTGCTGCTGTCGAAATAATGTTCCCCACTGGGAGCATCTCCATGTATTCCTGAACCTTCAGAGCCCTGACCCATCCCAGTGCCAGCCACAAAACCAGTGGGCAGTCACAGCCTAGGGCAAAACTGGTGCTCTATGGAAATGAAACAAGCACACTCACCTTTCTGTTTCTGTAAAGTTCCCATAGCTACCTTTTGGCTCAAAGACATGGTGCTGTCCTCTGGGCTGAAATGTGGCAGCCAAGGTCATGGGGAAGCTGAGTGGCGCTTGGGGATGTGGAGATGACACTTGGGGATGTGGTGTAGTGCTGAACACAGTGTGCTGGGGTAACAGCTGGGCTTGGCACTGCTGTGTTAGTCGTTGGACTCAATGATTTTAGGGGTCTTTTCCAGCCTAAATGATTCTATGATTCTATGATTTTTGTCTCAGTTGGCAAAGCCCAGCTTTTTGCTGGCTTTTAGATGTCATACTTACAGTGACAAAGGATTAGCAAGGTTCTTCAAGTTTCTCTTTGATTTCCTTTTAGGATTGTTCAACAAATAATGCATCTTTTGATAGGGATATTAAATAGGCCAAACAATCCCCATAATACAAACAACTGTTAATCGCTTTCATTTCCTGCAGTTATATTCCCTTTTCGAAGTTGCAGTGTGGCTGTTGTACCTGGGAAGTGCAGCCTCCAGGCCTGATTATCATATCAATTAGGCTGGTGTAATCCTTCTGAATTGGTAGCATTGCTTCCAAGTCAGAGGAGTTCAAACGAGCTCCAGAACCGAGGCAGCTGAAAGATTGCTTTCCTTATTACATTGCATCTCATGCTGTTTTGAGGAAATACATTTTGCCAACCTGTTGCATGTGAGCTGGCAGGCATCCAGTATAAACATACTGTTATAAGTCAACATAGCAATTAAATCAAATTGCAATGTTTTCTCTGAGCAGCGAGAGAAGTGAGATATGCATCCAGTAGCTGCTATGCTAGAAGCCTTCGAGGATTAACACTTTGGCACGTTGGAATGTGCTGTGTGAAACCCAGCTGAGCAGCCACTGGTCAAAGTGCAGCCCAGCAGCTGAGATTTGTCCCTTGGCTTAAGCTGTGTTACTGTACCAGTCACTGGAGAACACTGGTTCTGTGCAAGGTGGGTTTCTGGAGACCTAAAATTGAAT